ACTATGCCACCGGGCTGGCCCTCCAAGCTTCTTTCTTTACAGTTGCAAGGTGGTTTCTGCGGCTCTTTTCCCATCTCTTTCTCTATTTATCATGGAGGAGAATAATGCCCAGTTGCCCCTTGTTCCCCGACAGACTCCTGCATTATCTCGTTTTCTGACTGGGACACATGGCAACCTCTCTAACTGTAGGGGAGGCTGGGAAAACAAGTGGCATTTTCAGCCTCTACAGCACGTGACGGGCCCACCCAGCCAGGAAGCGCAGTGGGAGAAGACTGTAGTGCAGACACCCGATAACGTCTGCCAAACTTGCTCAAGCTCCTCGTCTAGAATTCTCATCTATGTCCCCTTTTCCCAAGGTCCCTTCCAACTCATATTAAGTGGCTAGAAGAGGGTCTGTGCCTTCCTAAGTCTCTTCTTTTTATGGGGCTACTGCGCACACCTGCACAGGTTGAGAGCTGTGTGGTTCTAGGACATCCTTGTGGACTGCCACGTGAACGGTGCCTCCTGAAGTTGTGTGGTGCACAACCTTCTCAACCAGCAGCCTTGTGGACCATTTCTGACTCATCCTGTATTGATCTCTTACCTCACTCTTCACCCTCTTACTTTACATTTCCTAACTTCTTAGCTTTCATTCATTCATTCAATAAACATTTATTGGTCACCTAGTGAATGCCAGGATGTGGGATAGGCATTGGTTGGTCGTGGATGGAGGGTGATATAAACATGAAAAAAGCAGGTCCTCATCCCCTAGGAACTACATCCCAGGGATGGAGACCCATATATGATCAAATATTTGTAATACTGTGATAAGTGCTGTAGCAGAGTGTGTCACACAGTCCCGTAAGTGTACAGAGGAAGGAGTGGCTGAAGTAGGGAAAGGCTTCCAGAGGAGGTGACCTTGGAGCTGGGTTTTGAAGGCCAAACGGTGTGTTCCAGGAAGAGGTATGAAAGAGAACACCATGTTGTAGAGGAAAAGCTCTATGTGGCAGGGCATGGTGAGAGATGTGACCAGGAATATAGGCCAGAGTGGAATTATCAAATACAGTGTAGGATGGAGCCAGGTGAAGGACTTGGAGTTTATCCCATGGAACAGAGAGCCATAGTGGGGTCGGGGGTGTGCATAGCAATGTCTAGGAGCAGAGGCTTTCAAGTCAGGCAGACATGGGTCCTGATCCCAACTCTACCACTTACCCACTGTGCGACCTTGGGCAAGTCACTTCACCTCTCTGAGTGCCAGTTTCCTGGATGCCGAATGGAGAGAAATAATCTGTGCCTGTTAGGGTAGTTGTAAGGATTCAATAAGGCAGTGTAGATCAGGTGCTTTACACAGACCCCGGCACACAGGAGGTGCTCAGTACATGGTGACTTGTTTCCATTATTACTGTTTTGTTGTAGCATGAGGCAAATACACATGAGAGGACAGCACACAACTCAACCAAAATAGGATGTGCTAGGTGGCCCGGATGAGATGTATTGTTGGCAGTGGGGGAGATCGGCCATCAGGACCCCTGTGGGTAGGGAGTGGACAGGTGGTACGTCATACTTGAGCTGGACTGTGAAGAATGAATAGAAATTAGGTAAGAGAGAGAGGGAAGGCAGGAGAGCTAGGAATGCACCCAGCAGGGACAGCGTGTTTATGGGATGCTACGCGGGCTGGTTGGGCAGCAGGGTGGGGTCTTTTGGGGTAAAGGAATGGGAGAACATGGGCCAGGTGTCATGGGGGCCTTCGATTTGTTGACTTGGCCCCCCCCAGGTCTCATTATTCCCCTGATCTGGCACCTCCTCTCCTCTCAGAAGGTATAGGATCCCCTGAGGGGGTTGCAGGCATGTGTCAAACTTCTGGCCTGGCAGTTCCCTGGCAAACCAGGCTCCACCTGCCCTTGTGTGTAAAGCCGGTGCCCATGATGGCCGCCCCCTGGTCTCCTGTGTCCCGGCAGGAGATGATTAATGGCTTAGCTGCACCGATGTGTTGTATTTTGGTCTGTTCCCAAGCAGATAGATTTTTCTTTCCAGATAAAACGAATGCAGGCCCTTCCTGGGCTGCCAGTCCCTGTCCACTCCTCCCGGTCGCGGTCTGTTAGGGAATGCTGAAAGGTAAATGCGATGATAAGCTGGTGGGGGTGGGGATGACTGTACCTTCAGGGGCCCTTGTCAACAGTATAAAGTCACCTTGATGTGCCAGGACTAATGACGCTGGAGCAAGCCAAATGGAGCCTGGTGGCACTGAGGCGGAGCAGGAGCCAGCGCCCCAAAGGCCCAGAGCAGGGCTGTCAAGGCCTCCCGTCCTTCTGCCCGGGTCTTTTCCCTGGTGACTCTCACTCAGCTCATCTCATGCTGAGTGCAAGACCTCCTGAACTTGCAGGTGCCTCCTCTGTAAAAGGAGATGTTACGGGTTGAATTGTGTTCCCTGCCCCAAATGATGTTGAAGTCCTCACCCCCAGTACCTGTGAATATGACCTTATTTGGAAATGGGGTCTTTGTAGATGATCACCTTAAGAAGAGGTCATTAGGGTGGGCCCTAATCCAATAAGCTGTGTCCTTATAAAAAGAGGAAGTTTGCACACAAAGACACACTCACAGGGAGAACGCCATGTGAAGACGAAGGCAGAGAGGGGGTGATGCTTCTACAAGCCAAGGAATGCCAAAGTTTCCTAGCAAACCACTCAAAGCTGGGAGAGGGCCCTGGAACAGATTCTCCCTCATTCCCTCAGACAGAAGCAGCCCTGCCAACATCCTGATCTTGGACGTCCAGCTTCCAGAACTGTGAGGCGGTGAATTTCTGTTGTTTTAAGCCCCCAGAGTTTGGTTCTCTGCTATGGCGGCCCTAACGGACTAATCCAGGGGAATCTAGTCCTCCCCATGGGCTTGCAGTGAGGATGTAACAAGGAGGCTGGTGATGCTACGTGGGGCATTGATTAAGGACTCTCCATGTGCTGGGCTCTGTTCTAAGCATCCCTTTGCCTTGAGTCACTTTGTCCTCCTGACAATCTTAGGAGGTAGACCCTTAGAATTTCCACATTGTAGGTGGGGAGCTGAAGCACTGAGAAGTTAAGGGATTTCACTAGTTTCCCAATAGTAAGTGGAAGATGCTAGATTCCAACCCAGGGAGTCTCGGTCCAGAGTCTGTGCTTTAACTGCTGGGGGTGTGTGTCTGTGTGTGCCTCTGCTCCATGAGGCCCAGGGGGCCTGGCCCTGGAAGCTCCTGAAAGCAAAGGCCTCTGGTCTCCCATGATGATGACCAGTCTTTCAAGGGAGCCCTGGAGGATCAGATGGGTACCCGCTGGTTGTCAGCTGACCCCTACATTCCCCTAAGGCCACTTACAGGGAGCAGACACCAAGGCTTAATTCAGTTGGGAGAGTTGAGACTGAGACTGTGGACCGATCCAGAGACCGGCCTGAAGGTAAAAAGCCCAAACCAAGGTCCCACTAGGCTTTCTACGGAGGATGCTCTCTGGGAAGAGTGGGTTGTTTCAACCCATGCACTGAGCACTTAGGACAGACAAGACCTGTGCTAGTGACCTGGGGATGCTCTAGGAGAGGCTGCGGCCACACCACGGAGATAAAGGCTCCTGCATGGTTTCTGCCGGAAATCCGGGAGGGGTCCGCAAGAATCCCGATGTGCACAGCTGGAGAATTTGAGGAGAATGCAAATAATGAAGGGAAGTCCATGGTTTGCATCGGAAGAGAAAGGTTTTCCCCTAAAAAGGAGTCTGGAGGTGAATGTGTGCTATACCCAGTCATCAGTACGGAAATCTCTTGAGAGGCCTGCCTCTCGGCAGGGTTATCTGCCTTTTGAGCAACCAGACTTACCAAGAACTCCCTGTATGGCCAGGCCTGATTAAGGGGAAGTGCTGGGTTGCCACACTGGCCTGGGACCCAGAGCACATCTGCTCTCAGAGGAAATTCTGGGTAAATGATGGGTCAGTCAGACTGTATCTGCCTAAAGTCCCACTCCCACTTCTCTGCCTCCCTAGGGCCCTCTCATAAGACAGACATTTCTGGAGAGAGTGTTTTAGTCCAGAGGGGTGACTCCACTGGTAGGTATCTTAGGAATCACTCATTCATTCATTCAGTCAGTCAGTCACTCGATCCATACGTTCAGGAAAGTCTTCCTGAGTGTCAGGCATCATGGCAGCATGTGGGGACGCCATGGTGAATAAGACAAACACATGGTCTTTCCCCACTTGGAGCTCGTATACCAAGGGCAGGCTACTCGTGGAAACGTTTGAGGTCCTGCATATTAAATAGGCTTTGACCTCAACAGGCTGGGTCCCGCCCCATCCTCATAGTTTATGTTAACCTGAAGAGTAAAGGATTAGATCTAACGCGAAGAGGAAATTCAACTTCATTTTAAAAAATTGGGGCTCAGGAAGTTTCAAGGATTATAAAGTACCTATGCCTTACCACACCAGCAAAGGGCTGGTCCCATGACCCCTCCAGAGGGGGAACCTCACCTGAAATTTGCCTAAATCAGCGTGCAAAGTAACCAGGTCATGAAGGCAGATGACCCTTGTGTGATCTAAGCCAGTGGGTCTCCACACGGCGGCATGGGAGTCCCCGGGGCGATCAGGAGCTCACCTGGTTCATTGTTAGGCAGCCCATACTGCTGTCGTTTCTCCCTGAGGCTCCCATCTTCTGGAAACTTTGCCCCAGCTGTCAGAGGTGGGCTGGCCTGCCTCAGAGAGGCTGCCCCAACTTTGCAGAAATTTTTTTCCTTAGAGACCCTTCAGGATCCCAAAGAATGGGGCTCATTTCCCCAGGCAGAAACTTTTTCAGACAATTTGGTCTCTGAGGAAATCTTTCTGGAAAAAGCAGAGACACCAACACCCCCAAGGCCTTTTGACCTTGGGCACTTCTTCTGTCAGGGCCGTTATCCCCTGGCCTTTAAAAGCCTGTCACATGTTGGGACTGGGCCCACTGGGCCCTGCCTCACCAGGCACGGGGGTCTCCTGACTCTGTCCTACCCCTCACCTGCACATCCTCCTTCACCCCCAGGAGCTTCTGCGTGTCCCCCCAGAAGCCTGCCTGTTCCCTGAGCTAGGAAAGCTCTGTCTGCTCCCTCCCTTCCCCCTGACCTGGCAGGAGGAATGGAAACTTTCGTGGAAAGCACTTGCACTGACGAAAGCTCCCAAGTCAGGACTTCGACTTGGGCCCTGACAGGGCCACAGGCTCAGGATCCGGGGCCTCTGCTTCCCCGGGTCAGGACCTCCTGCCCCAGCTCCGCCCCTCGCTCTCTCTGCGACCATCATTCGTCGGCTCTCCCGTGACCCCAAGTGACTGCTCCACCACGAGAGAAGTAACTATCTTTCACGCTTTCCCCCCTTTTTTTGGTCTCCCCCCGACTTCCTCCTCCTTTTTATTGTATGTTTTTCTTTGCCCCCTTCCACAGCACATCGGTGGCTGCGTAGTCTGCATGCGGCCCTGTGGAGTCGAAAGTCTAGAGCTTTTTGCCGTTTTGTTTAAGACCTGGTTATGGTTGTGGGATTTTTTTTTTTTTTTTTTTTTTTTTTTGTCAGCTGCCTGTTATATCAATCACGGAGTCGGGATCTATTTATAGGTTGGGAGTACTGTGTCCTTAGTCACAAAGAGACACAGACAGGGGACTGTCAGCTGGGGCCGGAGGAGCTGAGCCACGAGTCATCAGCACTGGAAACACCTGAGGGGTAGACCATCCCACGCCAGCCCCGTCCTCTCCCCGGCCCTGAGCATGTGAGTAACGCAACTTCGCCCTTCCCTCCGCCCCAGACTCTACCCGGTTCCTTCCTGTCCTTTTCCTACACACCCCCCTTCTCTCTTTCCCTCTCTCTCTTTTTTAATGGATAAAAATATCTCCTCGTGCCTGCTCTTTCATCTTGGTTTTCGGAACAGTAAAGCATCCCTGTGTGACCGAGAGGAAAATGTTGCCTTCCGCAGACTGTCATGGGAAGGTCAGAGGCACCGGGATGGCTGGGTGGGACGGTTACACAAACTCATTTGGAATCCGTAGGTTCCCTTTGATTTTTATTTGTTTTCCCTGCGAAAAAGTGAGTAAATCAAAAGGGCAAGGGAAAGTTTACACGCGGCTCAGCGGGGTGGTTATGGCTCCCAGCGTGAAAACTTTCATTTGCTGGCAGCTCCAGTATTGGGTGAGCCGGGAAGGTTACAGAGGGAAGACCCAGCTCGCCCAGGACAGGCGATGATGGAGGGCCCCCGGCGGATTTGGGTTCAACCTGGGAGCTTCCAGGTTCCGGGGGAGTCATGACAGTCCCAACAACCAGCTTTTCTATAGCGCTGCAAAGGAAAATGACTTTTTCCCTCCACGGAGCGAGTTTGCTTTGAGGAATCCAGAGGAGAGTGATGATTTGTCTTGCCTTACAGGCTTCTGTTGGCTCGCTCCTGTGGTGTATTTTCTTCATCCTGAAAGGGGAACTTGGGTGGGGGGCTGGGGACGGAGAGTCTCTGAAGGGACGAGCCAGGTGTGGAGGCTGTCCGTGCCTGCTCTGCATCCTCCCCCGAGGAAGACACTTAGTATCACTGTTCTCGTCAAAACTATGCTTGTTCCAGACAGTCAGGGGGCAAGCTCGCGGGCACATTGGTGGCTCCCAGAGATGGCAGTCCCCAGACCTTGTCCCGTGGTCCACACGGCCAACACCCCCCAGGCTTCCTGTGGCAGATTTGGGACTCTAGTTTCTGGATAATGTGTAGTATTAACTAAAAATCCTTCACATGGGGAGATGTGCTATACATTATTTACAAAGGAATAGGAACCCTAAGTTTTGGGAAAAATGTAATGAGCCTTAATGTATATTATATACAACGTTTAAAATGTATCTCATTCTTTCTACGAGTCTGATAACACTTGGGTTTCTATTTACTAAGACAGTGGTTGCCATATGCTGTATTGCCAGGGACTACTTCTTGATTTGTTTGGAAAATCAATATCCTAACAAAGAAATCATCTCTCCAACAGTTTAAAAGCATTAAACAAAACAGGTGAATCTGGATTATTTTTGATTAAAAACAAAGTAGCTTTAACAACACATCTAACTTGGTGAAAGTTAAATAATATGGACACACACACATAGAGAGAGGGAATTTGATCTCATTTTTATTTTGACCTTTATGAGCCTCTAACATTGCTTCTCCTGATTCTTTATTTTCAACTGTAATTTATTTAAGGTTATTTATATCTTTAATCCACTCATTTATTATCTTGGAGGGGAGCATGGAGATCAGGAAGGAATAAGAAATTAGAAGGCAAACTTCACAAATTCACGTAGTAAGACCACATTCATTGGTGGAAAAATTCAGACTAAGGAGTTTGGTGTAAAATGGGGGGAAATGTCACTATTTAAAACCTAATATGGAAAATAAAGCCCAAGAAACCAAGAAAAAAATTAAATAGAAGTTGTACATGTTAAGTATGCAGCATTATCATTTTTTCTATTCTAAGGACTCTATTTGGATAAACATATCCTGCTACGGTTTTCCACAATAATGCTGAAGTGAGATGCCGTGGGTTATTGTTAATTAAAGCTTGGGCAAACCCAGTGATTGAGACATTGCATTCAGAAATCACAGCCGTCAGCTGTGTGCAAAACTGAACTTCTTGCCCAAGACTTTCAGATTTCAACTGCTTTTTAGAGAAAGCGTGACTGTCTTTAACCCTTTAATCCAAGACCAAAGCATTCCCTCCACTCCTCAGCATGCATGCTGGAGCCTGCTGGCCCACGATTGAGTGCGGTGGGAGACAGCCCCACATTTCTGAGCTGGTCCTGTGTTCTCATTAGCGGCAACGGTTGAGAGAGAAGAATATTTGTTAGAACATTTAGGCAGGAACTGTTCCTTTCCTTGGCTACCTGTGGATGCCTCTGGGTGGGATGGGGGCTCGTTTGGCAGGGCAATGATGGAGGGCCTGGCTTTCACCCTCAAGTTCAGGTTGTGGTTTTTCCCCTTTGGGCTTATAGAGATGCACTTGGGGAAAACTTCAATGCATTTGCATAAGGCAGCCTCTGATTACTTAGTTTCTGCTTCAGTAACGATTAATTTTATGTGGACTGAGCTAACATCAAACTCATTTTTTTTCCAAACTGATTTCTTACATGCAATTGGTCACGGGACTGTCTGTGACTTCACGTCTGCAAAACCTAACCCATTCCATCCTTGTCGTGGTTTTATTTCTCTGAATGTAAATGCGCACTCTGCTGCGTGCACGCGCAGTTGTTTTATGTGCCCCCCCTCCCTGGAGCACGTGGAAGCCCAGCCCAGGCCTCCTCCCAAACTGGGGACAGTGGGGCCAATGAGCAGGTGCTTTGGAATCCGGCAGCCTCAGGTGCAGGACCATCAATCTTGAGGAAGAAGGAATCGCAAATACCTGGAAAGCAGCCCCCTCATTCAAACAGTTTTACATAGCCGAGGTCTCTCCAGATACCCCGTAAATAAAAAATGGCAGCTGGCAGGATTTTTAAACCAAGGACCACGCTCAGCTCTTCCTCCCCATCACTTCATTCTACAGTGTATCTGTCCATCTTTTTCTTATCTCTATTTTTACATTTCATTATCCTCCCGCGCGCTCTCTCCCTCCTCCCTTCCCTCCCCCTTCTCGCCTTCCCTGAAAAACACATTTCTATCTGGCACAGAAAATAAACTCAGATTGTGGGTAGTTATGTTAATCTAATTCAATCCTCAGCGGGTTAAGAGTGGAATTCTAATAGTGGAGCTGTTGAGGGCTTTTTTGTTAATGGCTTGGGGATTACATTGAGTTAAAGGCTCATTTCCTAATCAAACAGAGAGGGAGAGAGTGACTCCGAATATTTATGAGTCTCCCAGTGAGAGTTTAAACATTCAACTCCAAAAGTAGGGTTTCTGCAGGAGGAAAGAGTTAAAACCCCTCAGGGCTGCTGGGGAAAAAAATTAAACCAGTTAAGCCATCAGCATTTTCTGGCTGCTGTACAACTTCGGCAAAGTGGAAGGTGGGGAGAGAGAGGGGAATCATTTCACAAAGCGAAAATGGAAACTGTGGCAGAAGCTCTGAAGCCAGAGTCAGCTGATGTGTTTGCAAAAAAGTCCCCGGGAGCAGACAGGGCTCCTCTGTTCACCAAGGGCCTGGAGGGGCTACGTGCGTTCAACTCCCCGGATCAATTCTCCTCCTCCAGGCCAGAGGTGAGGACGTGGAGACAGGAGTATGGCTCAATTTACTGGCGGCTGGAGAGTTCCCCCTGCTGCCTGGTGGAGCTAGAGGAGAGGACTCCCCCCTCTTCGGTCCTGCCTCTGAAGTACTGGGGGCCGGCTTCCCCTGCTAGAGCACTGTCACGGCTCACAAGTCCCTTTCTCCCCCTTTGCTCTGTCGGGTCCCCTGCCACACTCTGCTTGTGAGGACCTCAAAGCCCAGCTGGTTCATTGTGCCCAGGAGAAAGCAAGTCCAGAAGTCCCTGCTCTCCAGCCAGAGAAAGGGAGGAGGAACTTGGCCAAGGTCAGGCAAGGTCAAGGCAAAGCTGAGGTCAGGAGTCTAAGTCCTCCACAGGCGTTCTGGCCGCGCTCTCCCCTCATTCTCTGGGGTGCAGTAGAGGAGAGGGGAAAGTCGGAGCCATATGGGTGCCAAAACGTGCCCCAGCTCTCCCGGAGTGCGGTTTCCTTCTCCAGGTTGGAAAAGAAGGAAGCCCTGATACAGGAGGATTCGGAATGCTCTGTGGACACTTCTCCTTTTCTTTGCCACCAACCAAGTGAGCAGTTTCTAGTCCCTTCACATGGGCCTTTCCCCTGCTGCGTGAGGTCAGCAAAGGCTCCAGACAGCAGACTTTCTGTCTCTGGGGACCTCTGGCTCTCTGTTTGCCCCCTACCTGGGCACTGTTCTTTCTCTTAGTACTTCTTGCTCGGTGGCCCATGAGTCCTCTTGCAGTTGCCCTTCCCGTGTCGAGGTGGCATTTATAACACGTCTGCATCAGCTTTTCTGTGAAGCCTTCCTTTCAGGGTTGGCATCTCCTTCCATTAACTGCATTCATCCTCTGTGGTGTAATTGTTTCTATGGGTTTCCCGCACTGGACCAGGAACTCCATGAGAGCAGGGACTACCTTTCATTCCCCTCCGTAAGCCCAGCTCGTCGTCGATCATTCCTGCCCTCTTGCTGTAACAAGTGCGTCGTGTGGACGGCTCAGAGCTGTGGTTAAGAGCATGTCCTGTGAGTCAGACAGCCAGGGTTCGAACTCTCCTGGCACCAACTTTCCTCAGCTGTGACATTTGAGCGACTTAACTCCTTAAGGTCTCAATTTTCCCATCTGCTAACCAGGGATAATTATAGAACCTACCTCAGAGGGTTTTTGGGAAGAGGAAATGCATGTTAGTATTAGCCCTTTGCCCAGGGTGTTAGCACTTTTATTTACTCGGTGTGGAGCAGTGACTTCTGCACACATCATGTTGCACCACTAAAGACAGGCTCCTACGCCTCCCACTGAGGAGCTATGTCTCAGTCAGCTCAGGCTGTTAAGACAGCGCAGCTTAAACAGAAATTTATTTTCTCACAGATCTGGAGGCTGGAAGTCCGTGGTCAGGTTCCAGTGAGGACTCTCTTCTTGGTGTGCAGAAGGTCGCCTTCCCGTTGTGTTTTAACATGAAGGAGAGAGCAAGAGCTCTGTTCTAGCCTCCTCTTATAAGGATGCTAATCCCATCATGGGAGCTCCACCCTGGAGAGCTCATCTAACCCTAGTCATCTCCCAAAGCCCCACCTCCTAATA